CCAGTGTGAGTCCGGTGAGCCCGGCGTTCCCTCACGCCTACAGGAAGCCAACAGCCTCCTTTCTGAACACTTCTCCTTGCCCCTGCCTGCCGGTCTTTTGGAGTCCTCACCTGTGGTGGGCAATTGCAGCAACCACCTGGAGAACCAGTCTGACCCACCTGCCTGGTCGGCCTACCTCCTTGCACTCTACCTTCGCCTGAGTACACTCTCCCCGTCTGAGGATTACGCCTCGCTATTTGTCTGTAGGTTCTTCTCTCTCTCTTGCGTTTGCAGCACCTTTTTCCGCTGACTCCTGTTTTTTTTTAGTCTTCTGGGGTTGTTTTGTGTCGCTTTTATGTCCGTTTTCAGTTCCGTTTAAGTACACGTTTCTGTAAGACACGATAATAATAACCTCACTGCCTCCTCCCGGTAATGCGCCATGCTCTCACGAGAAATTCTAGGAAGTGTAAGTATCCTCATGTCATAACACTAACCCTAAACGGCCATAACAACTGGTACCACTACCAGTTGTTGTAGATAGTAAAGACAAGCCAGACCGGAATGACTATCTCTGACTTATTAGCCGTCGTCAACCAGTCATACCCAGACCCAAGTGGTGTCTCTCCCGAGCCCCCAACTCGCGACCTTTTTGATCGGAGCCAAATGCCCTAACCATTGACCCCCGAGCTCATTGTCCCACCGATTTAGATTAGGAACTATTGACACTCGTTGATGAACGTTTATCTGACCACTAACGAAACTCATCTGTCCCGCTTTGTCTTGGGTCCTGTCGGGGGGCCTGATCTTAGAAATTAGTGCAAGGGCCTGTGTGCGGATGGGCTTCCTTTTCTTGTGTCTGGCCCATTTTTTTCTCTTCTATTCTCTAGCAAAAAAATGTAGACGCTGCTTAATTAAATTTTATTGTCGGAGCTTCATCTCATATGATGCATATTCTCTGTTTACTCGATTACCTACCGTGTATCTACTATCTCCACCTGACCCCCTTGAACAGACTCCAATTCCCATCAGAATTATTTACAAGGTACCGTTGGCGGTGATTATTCCTCTATCCGGATTTTTAGGGTGGACTACCAGAGATTCCGTACTGCCTACGTTGACAACGACCAATGAGTTAAGAATATGAAAAAAGTC